CCCAAATTGTATTGAGTGAAACAGTTACCTCCCCACACTAATTTCCTTGGTCAAATATTTAAGTAATGCTGTAGAATCCATAACTCATTTTAGGATTGACAGTCTTGTTCACACATAAAAAGATCTAAATCTTGTAGAAAAGAAGTGTAAATTTGTGTACCATAGTTAGATTTACATGACAATGGAATGCTTATTTTGCTTGTTTTAGTTTTAAGTAACCAAACAATTTATGTTCTCTTTATGTCCAATATATGTTTTATGAATCACTTTCATGAAATGCTTATCTAGATGATACCTAAAGAAACTTCCAGGTTTAACATTCTGATTCTAGGACAGGAATAATCGACATATGCTTTTACTTCTTGACTTTGAAGGAGGTATTGGTATATTTTGAAGGTTAGCCATATTGTTATTCCTTCCAAAGACAACTCCCATCCCTAAATGTGCACCCCATCACACGTCAGGAATAACACAGCTTAGTTTAAGCTACAAAATTAAAGCATAAACAATGGTAGATTTGGTAAGACCTAACTCCTGGGAGTTTGTTTAAAAAGTCAAATATTACACATACATATTTTTTGCTTGTTCGATTTTTCAATGAGCTCTGCCACTGCAGCTCAAGGGAGATTAAGGGAAAAAACCTACGTAAACACAAAGCAAAAACCTGAGCTTGTGTGTAAAGCTACTGCACTGGAGCGAATGTGGTTTAATTCTTGGCACTGGCAGCTTGTTGGAGAATTACAATATGTTGGCATGAGTCTCTAGGTCTCATTGTTCCAGATGAAGGAGTCAGTCTTAAGAGTGTTTGGCACTGAAGGGAAAAAGGAGTGAGAGTTATAGGGAATGAGCAGGCCCTAAAGAGGCAGGATGCTGTTGTAACAATGGCTGGCACAGTTGGGAGGGCCATTCACTGGTAGGGATTGCCATAGGCATTGATGTGAAGAAACATATGTGAGCAAAAGAGGCAAGGATGAGGAGGGAAAATCAAACAAACATATCAGAAGGGTCCTGATGGCACAAAGAGACAAAAGTAATCCAATCAGAGTCATCTTAATATTAACAGATTGACTGATAAGGATATCTGTCATTTCCCTGTAATTTATCTTATCGCTTATCTCTTACCATTCTATTTTTTATTTTAAAATATGTACATATTTATCTTTTCCTCAGAGAAACAGATCCCTGATTTAAGAGGCCCTGGGCTTGTATTCCTTCTGTGCTACTTTATGGCTAGGTGATGCTGGGGAAAGCATCTTTCTGAGCCTTAGTTTTTTCATCTGCAAAATGGATGTAATAATAATGCATACCATTGACAACATTGTGGTATCTGACAGCATTATATAAACTGAAATGCTATGCAAATAACAAGAACTACTATTATCTCTTATACTTATTTTAATATAGGGAGCACTAGATTTTATTTTGACAGTGATTATGATACTTCAATGTTTGAACAAAGCAACTCTCAGGAGAACTGTTAAAGGTGCTTGAAGGAAAGCTATGGCATATCTTAATGTGAAAATAATGGATAATCCAGAATTTGAACTTCGGGAGATAAATATGTCCTCAAACATACTATACATACTCATAATATAAACCACAATTCTACATGTAATTAAAAAATACATTCTTATTTTAGAAAACTTAATATTTAATAGACAGCTACTATCTTTTTTAGTCCATAAATACGGAAGCAGCACTTACATAATTGTGTCAAATTTCACTTGAATCACATTCACACATTTAATGAACAGGTGCATTATAAATATTGGGATTTTGCCTTTTGGCCTTTTACAGTTCTAGCCATTTATATTCTATGGGTTCCTTACCATTTTCAGGGAAATTCATCCATTGGTATCTGTGCTTCCTTTGTGTCCATTTATTACCATTGTGAAATCATTGTTAACCGTCATTATTACCATCCATTGTGAAATCATTTCTTACATGAACTACCAACAGAGACAAATTAGAACAGTAGCAATTGGAGGAATACTAGATATAGACTCGCTTAAAGCTCTTCATTTCATACTAGTTTAGAGAGAGAGGTGAAGTAGGTGAAATGATACGCTTTTGGTCTCCCTAACTTTGGTCCAGTAAGTTGAACTTAGCTCCATGTGGGTAACTTCTCATAATAATCTTCTGAATTAGATATTGGTGCATTGTTTACCACTTAAGAACCCAAAGCTTAGGGAAATATCTAATTCAGAAGATTATTATGAGAAGTTTGAGATACCACATATAAAGGACCTGGTGCACTGCTTAGCACTTAGCCCTCAAAATAGTAGCTATCATTATCATTTCATTGTTGACAAGAGAGTCAGGAATTTGTAGGCAAAGCGCGCGTGCACACACACACACACACACACACACACGCACATACACACAAACCTTGCTTTAAAACTCAACTCTGCGTATTACATTTTGTAAAACCTCAGACAAGTCCTTTTCTTCTTTTTTTTTAAACCCGCATGGTGGATATAATAACACAATCAGAGTCTTCAGGTATCTGCTATGATTAAGTGAGAGAATACAGACAGGTAAACGCATCTAACATAGTTCCTGGCACATACGCTGCTCAATGAATGTTTATTGAATTTGAATTTAAAATATATGCCGCATTCAAATTGCAAATATTAGTGACTTTATTCACCCACAGACATGAGAACCTGGAGTTAGATATGTTCTGATTTTACATCTTTCAAATTACTTGGTCTTAAAGAAGTTATTCATTTTTCTGTAGGGTACATTCAAAGTCAGGTACTTGAAAAAAAGAAGTGGCTCTGTATAGGAGCCTTATATCTTTATGTAAGTTAATAAAGAGACTAGGAATGTTCTGCAGGTTTCAGAAATCTGGCGGCTGTTACTTTAACTCTGCAACTTAGAAGACTTCTGTTTCTTTCTGAGCACACTACAGTGAATATTTTGTCTAGCTGCAGGGGAAAAGCTTTGTCATGGACTTTGCAGACAATAGCCTTAAAAGTAAAATGGTCTGCTTTTGGTGCCGGGAGGTTCAGGGGCCTATTGTTAGTGCACAATGGATTTCTATTGCTGCATTCCTGCTTTGCAAAGGTTTGTTAGCTTTTAATGACTGACAGTACTCTATTGCAAATACCGTATTGGTTGTGCCCTGTTTACGTGCGACTCAAGAATTTTTGTGAAGAGCTGGAAAAAAGAAACAGTGGTGTTTGTTTGACCTACTCTGATAAGGTTTAAAAAATGATGTCGCTCATGAAGTGTTTACGGGGAATGTAGGAACGTTGGAAATCCTTGTATAAGCATTTTAAAGTTACTTTGAAGGCCTCAATGAATAGAAATATTGATTACAGTAAGGAAAAGAATTAATCCATATTGCTCAGAATTGTCATTGTCATTTTCAAAACAATATGGTACAGAAATAGGGATATTTTAAGGAAAAGTTAAAGTAAATTTTATAGGATCTTTCTTCCTTAAATACAAGAAATGGAGATATTTTGTTACAAAGGAAGAAATGCATTGTAAATTCTATGACAAATGTGTACACAGTAGTTATGGTAGGTGTGTCTATGTGTGTGTCTATGTATATTTTTTAATGTATTTTTTTCACCATATGTATAGACTATATAGGCTATGTAAGGCAGTAATCATTCAGAGCTTTTCACCATTTTATTTTCCATAAGTTTTTGACCTCTGAAAAAACAAGACAAAAGCATTCCATATTGTCACAGTTTTTCCAAGGAAATTTCACCTCCACTTTATTGAAAACTCCACACAGGCATTGTGACTCTGACAGCCAATGGCTGTAAGATAGGAGCCTGTGAAAGGTAGACAGCAGTAGCCAAAGATGATGATGATCCCTTAAAATGCATTTTACTGTGGGGAAAATGAACCAGTTTCTAATAATCTTATGGTCTCTAGGCCAGCCGGTCCCTTTGATAAGTTAACGTGTACTCCCTTTATGCTCCTAGTAGGGGGTAAACAAATGTCTGAACAAGCACAAATGCACATAAACACCAATGTGGAGAACGGCAGTATGTGTCTTAGATCTAGATAATAAGTGTGGGTATTGTTATTTAGATGGAACATACTGGGACACTTATCTTTTAGTACACTCCATTTTCTAACTGAATGCAGTGCTAATCGTGGGATTGAAAGCCATTGTAATTGTGTACCCATCTAAATGCTGACAAGAATATACAATTACATTGTTTGGAATTGAGTTTAATGTTTGGGAGTTTTATTAGCATTTATGTTTACTTATACATTAAAATTCAACACAAAAGAAGAGGTCAAAAACCATGTGATATATAGAAACAAAATCAGACTAAAACATAACCTTGCTCTTTAAAATACATGTGCCCTGTCTCAATACTGGGCATTTTCGAAGAATGTGATACAAATCTGAAATAAGCAAATAATAGGTTTCCATTGTGAGCATTACTCACTTTGGTAGATTTTGCAATCTTTGTAAAGCTTTTTTTATACCAACTTTTTTTTTTAATGTTCACGGCACTGGCAAATCTTTCCACAGTGTGCTTACCACCATACGATGTTAAACACATATTATAAAGTGGATGTAATTGTAAACACACAGAGGGATATAATTACATGTAGCAGATTTAAGAGCTAATTCTTTGCCTTTTTTTCCCCTGCATTTTATCAACATAATTATTTTTTGACTGCAGACTAACACCCTGAAATTGACAAGCATCTATTATAGCAGGAATTTGTTCACCAAATTGAAAAACAATGAACTGCAGGTTTATATGTACCCATTGTCATAAAGAATTAGTATGGCTTTGTTCCGCAAGAGGAAAAAGCTAATGATTTTGAAACAGCAGGTGACAAAACACATTCTTTTTTTCTCCCCTGTTATCAGTTTGTTGATGAAGTCATTATGAACTGGGGCCCAGATAGGGATGGCCTTATTTTTAGCAGATAGACTTTTAATGAGCTGCATTGTAAAGATAGTCATGTTGATTTGCTTACGTTTTTTTTTTTTTTTCTTTTTCTTCTTTCCTTAGAAACCCCAAGTATTGAAAAGCTACTCTCAAAGGACTGGAAAGACAAACTTCTTGCAATGGGATCAGGGAACTTTGGTGAAATAAAAGGTAATATATTTACAATTATTTTGATCCAAAATGTACTAAAATGAAGTTTATATTTAGAAATATTAACAGTGACAAAGTGCTTCTGACTCACCCTCTCCTGCCTCCTGCATTCTCTGTCTTTGGTATTTTTTCTTTCTAGCTTGAACGTGGACGTATCAGGGTTCTGATTTTATCTTTGTGCCTTATTGATAAGTGGAATGTTATTTTAACACCCGAAACCCCTGTATCTTCAAAAGGCTTTGGTTTTCATCATTAAAAAAATTATTTACCTTGTGAGTAGGAATGTGTTTATATCAGGGTTAAAAACTGCATATAATGAGATGAGTTTATACATTCTACCCATTAAAAGTGTGAAGGTACATGATCTACATTTAAAACCGGAAATGGTGAATGGTGGAAGCTTTAAAAAGATTGTTTTATACTAACAAGAGCAACGTTTTTGGTTTGTTTTATTTGAATCAGATATTGCCCACAACTAAGAAAAAGTCTAGATGAGCCTCGGATGATACTGAATATTCATATCTTAATAAACTCTGACTAATAGCACTGGGAGAGGACTTCATTTCTCATATAAAGATAGAGTTAAATGATCATTTCAGTTAATTTCAAAGTGTATTTTCTCAGAGCATAGTAGGCAATCTATGGTTTTCTATTTGTTGCCAGTAGCACACAGGCATTAATTTTGAGAAAAAATACTTATTCATCAATATTAAAATATTTAGTTATATATTACTCTATAGTTTTTCGTAGAAGCTGAATATATATTTAAAATATCACCAGATTTATATTAATATACATGTAGAAATATGTGTATAAATAACTTTTTTGCATATGTATGTATGCGCACGTGTTCTCCCAATGAAAAAGGCAATTAATTGTCTTTCTTATGGCTCTACTACCTCAAATCATCCCGCGGGAAGGCAGGACACTAGCATCTCAGCATTTCGAAACTTCGAGGAAATGTTTGACTGAATATTTCACTTTGTATCCATTGTATTTGGCGTTTACATATATTCAGGTTATGATTAAGTATGACTCGGTGGTGAGAGGATGAATGAGTGCTAATCAACAAAATCAGTAACCAAAATCTATAATGGAATCACATTTAAACAGATAATAATTAATTTGCCTTAAAGAGCTTGAAGACAGACTTTAAAGAGAACAGAGAAATTTCTTTTCCAAGGCCACAGATCCTTTATATAATTACGTTGGCTTTTAACCCATTTGCACCCGACACATAGAATGTGTTCTCCGTGGTCCTTTATTCTCCTCTGACCTAGGTGATGACTGAGCATAGAGCAGAGAAGACCGCCTGTTCTAAGCCTTGTGATCTCATTCCATTGGAGGACAAACACATTTCCCTCCCCCGTTTTCTTCACAAGTCGAACTTAAAAGCAGCCACAGCAGTGATGATAAGCATAGAGGAAAGCAGCTCAGCTATTCTTCCAGGCTTGCCTCTGGGCTTCGTTCAGGAAGCTGCAGTTCAGTCCAAAGAAGTTTCCGTCTTTAATTTTGAGTTTTTTAAAGCTTCGCATTCAGAACAGAAGTTTGGTTATTGTCCTCTGTTCAAAAAGCTGTTTTCTGATGCATTTTAAAAGCAACTGCAGATCTTTCTTCTGTTGGGGGGCATGGTTATTAGGTGCTTGGATAGGTTTGGCAGAAAACTGGGAAAAATATCGCTGGCTTACTTTTCCTACTGACTGCCCGTGACAGTTGCAATTACTAACCATTGTTCGTAGGTGGCTAGAAAGTGGAAAGGATACAATAGTGTGTAGCCCTCTGGGGGTAAATGAATTTGACTTAATGGTTCTTGGGGGGTCAGACACTGATTATGCCATGCCCAGGAATGTGGTTTTCATGCCACCTCAGAAGTTATGGGAGAACAATGGCTTTGCTGTTTGGCAGCTTTTTTTTTTTTTTTTTTTTTAATGAAGCAAATAAAGGTGTAAGTCTCATGTATGTGCACTCTGTTTGGGGTTGGGATGGCGAAGAATGAGGGTGAGCTTTTTTAAATCTGAAATATGACGGTATTCAATTATTAAATGATTTATGGGTGATGATTTAGAATACTATACTTGATAGAATCTTTGCATATGTTAGGACGTTTACAGCTTTTACAGTATTTACCAAGTTTAGTGGATTTAGACTTTCTCCACTACTTACACTGGTCAGTTTTCTTTTAACTTTTAAAATTTTTTATGTTTATTTGTTTTTGAGAGAGAGAGACAGAGAGTGAACAGGAGAGGGGCAGAGAGAGGGAGACACAAAATCTGAAGCAGGCTCCAGCCTCTGAGCTGTCTGCTTGGAGCCCGACACAGGGCTCTAACCTACAAACCACGAGATCATGACCTGAACTGGAGTCAGACGTTTAACAGACTGAGCCACCCCATTTGCTCCATTTTACTTTTAATAGTTGCAGAAAATGTGTGAATAAATGAGAAAAAGAGAGAGAGAGTATGCATGCACATGTGCACCCATTCTTGAATATCTAAAATTATAGCCAGATGAGGACAGAGCTCTGTTCCTAAGTGCTTGCCTTCAAGTTGCTGCACATGAATTGCTTTCAGAGTATTTGGACAAAGATTAATATTACAGTTTGGCAAAGTTCAAAGAAGTGTTTCTTGCTATTACTATTTTAAAAGTTAAGATGATAAACTTCTAAAATAAGAGAAATAAATATCATTTGGTTTGGATATTTTAGCTATCAATAAATAGTTGTCATACCCACTTAAAGTCAATCTCATTCTTCAAGAAACAATGCAGGTTAGTAAAGGTCACCCACTTCTAAGAGCATGAAATTATTTTTCATGTTAGATTATTTTGCCTGTTAGAATTTATTCCATTTTTATGGTCTGGTACTTTGGAAATGTGAAGTGATTAGGTTTTAAAGTTACATTAGAAACAACCCACTAAAAAACATACAGAAGGGACACTAGATCCAGTTTTGCAGAACGAAACCGTTGGACTGAAAAAGAGCTTGGCTAACAGTCGATGTTTGTATATACATTGATTAGCTGCCTGAGAAATGACTTCTTTCTTCTCCGATCAGATGTAAGAAAACTTCGGTAAGTCAGCTTTTGGTTTTTGTTGTTGTCTGTAGCAGAAGCACTGAGTAACAGTGCTGTGAGAGGTGAAGGAATACCTCTTTAGAGCCTCGTAGTTACTGAGAAGGGGGAAAAAACAGCTACTAGTGCTCGCGTTAGCAACCACGAGTGTCACGTGTTGTTTTAGCTAGCATGAAATTCCATTACACTGAAGGTCAATGCTTTGGCACTTCACCTGAGGACAGTATCTGTGGATCCAGGGCAGCTTCGACTCATCTAAACAGATCATTTGTTTTTTTAATAAAGTTGTTGCAGCATTTGTATGTTACAGGCTTAATTTTTTTTGGTAGAATAGTAACCCAAAAAAATCTGCATGCAAAGTTCTCTCAAGTATTTCTGTCTTGGTGAAGTTATAAGAGCAGGGCATTGTTTGAGAGGTTTCTCTGGCTAGGTCACTCAGATAAGCCCAAATCAGTTTCTCCACCAGCCTTGTATAAAGAATTCTTTGAACCCCAGCTTCTTTCCCATTGGTATCCCTGGTAGACCCTTTCTCACCCTGCTCAGAATGCATTAATTTAGGCTGGCAAAGTGTTGTATCCGGTATTAAGAAAAATGCCAGCTGCAGTTGGTATAATAAAAAATTGGCTTTTTTGAAAGCTATAATTTCATTCTTTCTAGAAGATGGGACATAAAGGCAAACACCAGACAGCTCTAGAATACCAGTAATAGATTCAAGGAAATAAGCCATTCAGCAATACTTGGGCCTCTTAGAACTCATATTAAATACATGATATTTAGATTCATCATGTCAGGGGGGAGGGGGGCTCCTGGGTGGCTCAGTTGGTTAAGCATCTGAGTTTGCCTCAGGTCATGATCTCATGGTCCATGGGTTCGAGCCCCACATCGGGCTCTGTGCTGACAGCTAGCTCAGAGTCTGGAGCCTGTTTCCGATTTTGTGTCTCCCTCTCTCTCTGACCCTCCCCTGCTCACTCTGTCTCTCTCTCTCTCTGTCTCTCTCTCTCTCTCTGTCTCTCTCTCTCCCTCTCTCTCTCTCTCTCTCAGAAATAAATAAAACATTTAAAAAAATTTTAGATTCAACATGTGGGTTAAAGTAGATCCTCTGTTAGGTGACATAACATTTGGAGATAAAAGAGATAGGTGGAGTCAGTATGTGGCTTGAAAGAGATACTTCTGTTTAGATAATATTAGACAATTTGTAAACAAGCAGGTGTGGAATGGGAATCAGATCCTAGGTAATAAATAAAGGGATCCTTGGAGTTTGCAAATTTAAAACATGGAAACTATAATCCCAGGATCAGTCATGTCAGAGCTTGGATCACTTCGTAAGTTGTTTTAAACCCATTCTTTTAAAATGAAAAAATAAAAACTCTTTAAGAATTGCGTGCTTTGCTAATAGAAACTTGGTGACTTATGTCATTTGTACATTAAGCTAAAAAGTATGTCTGTACGTTTTTGTAAAGGGGTTGGAAATATTGATTATTTTCTAAGGGAACTTTTATATCTGAAATTTGTTCCATGCAACCGTGAGCTAGAAAGTAGGTACATAGCATATAGTCATGCACTTCTAAATAAAGTAAATATTTAATGGTTTTTAATCTAGTGAGCTTCTTTTATATATAGTTCCTCTGTAGTTGCTTATGAGTAATGATTTCCCTTTTTGTAAAAACCACTTTGTAAGAAACAAAGAAAGACTAGTGCTGCACATCATATAAGTTTTTGAAATACGTTTGGCAATGTCTGTAAAAGCAGAACATGACTTCATGTTTTTTGCACATCAGTAACTTGCTCTGCCCCAGAATGCTAGAGTCCTTATGCCAGTGTATAAACATAGCCAGTGACGGGAAGAGAGTGGTCAGACACTGGATCGCGTTGATTTCTGTATTGATGATCAGTTCACGTATTAGGATGTTTTACATACCTTTCAAAGCAGGTATT